TGGCTGAATAAACTATGATATATCTGCAATGGAGTATGTACTATGCAATGGTTAAAAAAAAGGAAGCCCTCTATGGATTGTGATTTGGAGACTACACTTTAAGTGGAAAAGGTACAAATGAGTATTTATGTTACTTTTTGTAAAAAAAACTAATAGCTTAGGCAACTTATGAATAGAAGTGCTAGGTAGGGAAAGGGTCTGAGATACAGTTGGGTGATCAGCCACTTTATAAGAATTAAAATGAGACTAGGCAATGAACTAGGGTTTTGAACCAAGCACGAATTTCCTCAGGCAACTTGGAAGACAGCCCCTCCCTAATAAGTTCTGAGTTTGAAGGATTTTAAAATGTAAAGCAACCAGTTTTTCTTTTAAGATCCCAGTTTCTTTTAAAGCCTACATGCTGAGTAAATGGGTAGAAAGCCTGAATCCCAACTGGTCATTTTAAATGGACAGAGCCACCTGTGATAGGTGTCCACCAAACACTTAAGCAGTTCCCTGGGCTCTGCTTATCCTGGACCAAGGGGCTATGCAGTGATCAACTTGGGATGCTTCCTGAAAATCCAGAAGCTACTGTGTTTTTCCCTAACTTCCAATAAGCATTCTTCTAACCTCCTTTCGTCCATAATTATTTACTCTGATGTCATGAGACTACAAACTCGATTTGTACAGAATTAACTGTTTTATGAAAGAAATGAAAAATAACATTTACATGTATCTGTTGTACTCTAGAAAAAAATAGCTTCCTTATATTTGTATCATACCAAAATACCTGTAACGTGGCCTTACTGTATATGTGTTTTCCTTCTCCCTCTGGGTGACCTAATTGATATGTTAATCAACGCTCTCCTCTGTAAAGAATTGTAAATTCTTACCTAATTGATATGTTAACCATTGTTGCCCTCTACAAATAACAGATGTGGTGCTAAAATAAGCTAACAGGGGTTGTTAATTACTGCTAGACTTCTCTATTCTCTGCTGAGGAAAACAGGATGTCTTCCTAATCTAAACTTGTTTGAAGGGTAACTTGCTTGTTTGCAGGGAAACTTGCTTGTTAGCCCAACCCTTACCTGAACCTTGCTCTTCCCAAGAAATGTAATCACCCCTGTGTTCCTGTTCTGTAGTGCACCACAAACCCAGCCCCACTCCTTGCAGTATGAGACCAGCAGCTGTTTGCGGTTTTACAAGATAAAAGCCCTGCCATTTAGCTATCAGGCTTGCAGTCCATATTGGCTCCTGGAGGCTATGAGCCAGGCGTGGCCTAAAATAACGCCTTTGCTCCCTAAATTTTAATTTCTTGCTTCCTTGGATTTTATTCCGGGGTCGGAGTTATCACAGTATCTGCTATTTGTACAGGACAAAAGCTAAACAAAACACAGAAAGGATACATTAGTAACAGCTAGCTAAAGTGATAGGGCAGAAGCAGGGTCATGATGGGGCTGGGGAGACACCCAGGGCAATGATACATCTCTGAGGACACCTTTCTGTGTAGTTCTTACTTCTGGAACCATGTTAGTGTTCCATTAACCATTAAAAAAAAGAAGGAGGGGGAAGAAGAGGAGAAGGAGGAGAAAGAAAAGAAGAAGAAGATAAAACACTAAAATAGAAAACAAAAAAAAAAAAAAATGACCCTAAGGTTAGGTCTGGAGAGTTAAGTAATATCTAACTAGCAAGTAGCAACGAAAACTGTGGACACATATTGAAGTTAATTTGGGGGTGTTCTTTATGTGAATGTTAACAATTTTGAAGCTCTCTGATCATTTTAAGATCAAGTATAGGTATAAATAATATATTGTAGGTAATGAGAGTCACAGTTTCTCACTATCAGAGAAGGTAGTAAAAAGAAGGCAAGAGGAAAGGATTTAATGAGTTATATGGTATTATGAATTTGAGGTGTCATTATAAATTCATTATTTTAGCAGGCCGAATATAGATAGATGTTTAATACATATGTAGAAAGATAAAGTGATAGATAAATTTATGTGCCGTGTCTATCAAGTGAGTCTCGAACACTGATGGCAAACCTTTTAGAGCTTACAATGATAACAAAGAGCCAGCTGCAGCATGTGTGCCGTAGGTTCACCACCACTGGCCTAGAATCAAGGACAGTGCAGTAAGAATGAGCAAATCTAGTACCCAAATCTTTATTTCTAAGTACTGCACTATTCTCCACTTAAAAGAACCAGGGCTCCTTTGGAGAGATAAATGATTCCAGAGCTGGTACCAAGAAAGAAGAGCCTGGAACATCTTGTTACACCAGAGAGTAAGGAAGAGCTTAAAAGAGAATGACAATATGCCAAATCACACAAAAATCAACTTGATCAAAGTTCTCTGACCAAACTTAGAAAACTGTTAATAGTAACAGAGTGAGTCAAGAATCATTAACAGAAAATGAAACTAGAATGTAAATGCTAAGTAAGGTGAGATGAGAGTAAGATATCAAAGTATCCCCCCCAACAAACACATAAAATGTCTTTCAATTACAAAGGAAAAAATAGAAAAGGATAAAATTTGTATTGGAAAAACCTCCCAGACATTTCCTTAATCAAATGACCAAAGTTAATATCACCAATAAGGCTGCAAAACACTTGTCTCTTCCCAGATCATGCACTAGTGAGGCTCCATGTCCCTTGTGGCACTTTTGTGCTAAACATATACGACAAGAATCTAATCATGAGGAAACAGCAGAAAATCCATTCTATAGGATATAGGATAGTCCACAAAATATCTGGCTTGTATGCTTCAAAACTGCCAAGATCATGGAAAACAAAAAACAAAAGAAAAATTGTTGATATTAAAGGAAACCAAAGAAACAAGACAAAAAAACTTTAATCTGGATCTTTGGCCCTAAAAGTAAATTTTCTCTTTTGCTATAAAGAACAGAAAATGTCAATTGTTGAAATGAGAATAAAGCCTGTAGATTAGATAGTAACATTGTATCCATTCTAATTTCCTGATTTAATCATTACCTTGTAGTTACCTAGGAGACTATTCTTGTTTTTAAGAAAACTTAGTGTTTAGGGTAAGTGTGCAACCTACTCTCAAATAGTTCAAATAATCTGAAGGAATAAAAAGTTAATATTTGCAGAATCTAGCTAAAGCATTGATAAGAAGTCGTTGTTTATTCAATGTTTCTGTAAGTCTGTAATTATTATTATCATTATTTTAAAAGGGGGCTGAAAGTGGGCTTATGGTGGAGCACTTGCCTAGTGGGATATTTACATGCTCTCAAGTACTGCCCCTGTTCTTACTCAATGTCTTTTATTTTGTATGAGTTTTTGCATTGAAACCCTAGTACTGCAAGTAAATAAATAACGAACAAACAACAAAACATTCTGACAGTCTGCATTATACAAGCAAAACTAGAAAACAAGAACAACAAATTATGTTTGCTACCAGCATGGCTGCTGGGCTGGACCCACTCTGGGTTGCTGTCCCTGGTTTCAAGCTGTTTTTCTTGATTTGATTTTGAGTGAATGCTCGCTGATGACAACTGGTGCTAGTGTATGCTTTGCTGCATCTGGAACTTTTAGATTGGCTTATAGCCAGGGATTATTTATCTTATATAAATAATCCATTTGACAATAAAGCAGCTAAAATCTGAAGGAAGCCCTAGTCCTCAAGGATGGAAAATGGTGGCTGTGGCCCAGGCAGTCTTCCCTCATGGAAGGCCTGCAATTCATTGTCTGCCGTGCAGAGATGCAAGAGGTCTGGCCTCCTGGTTCTGCTCTCAGTCATACCCAGAGCTACAGGGCTATCTCATAATCTTTGAGAGCACCACTTTGAAGAGAAAATGTTTGTATAAATAATAGGAAAAAAGAAACTTGAAAGTGAATGAACAGGGGCTGGGGATTTAGCTCAGCAGCATAAGTACCTGCCTTGCAAGCAGGCGGTCGTGAGTTCGATCCCCGGTACCAATAAAAAGAAAAAAAAACAAAAAAAGAAAGTGAATGAATAGAGTTATGAAGGAAGGAAAGTGGACCTCAACATTGGAAAGCAAAATGTTGTTCTTGGCATATTGAGTCAGTTTCTGGGTAGGAAGGAAAATCCAAGCGAACAGCGGGGACCGTCAGGGATCCTGTGCAGCACATGGGAAGGTCACACCTCAGGGTGCAGCCTGATCTGCCAGTCAGGAGCTGTGAAATCATGCCCCACCCCTCCCCAGCCTGCAATTGCTCTTTCTTGTTTATTAATAAGTCCACAGGCCAGGAGTGCACAGACCAAGAGTACCAAATTCAAAGAAAGAGGCAACCTTAGGATCTGGGTCTTGGGGGCCAGGAAAGTTAAGATGAAAAGCAAGGAACAGCATTCTTGACAGAGGGAAAGACATCTGGACAAAGAAAGAGAAGCACGATAGATGGAACTCTGAGTCTATATGCTAGTCTATGTTGCCATTTCTCTCTCAGGTCAAAGGATATCAACCAATAGATACACAGTGTGTTTTGCTTCCTGGGGCCATGGAGGCCCAGCAAGCATAGATCTAGTGGATTCTGGGTTTCAGGGCTGATTATCCAGAATGCATAAAAAGTACTCATCTCAGCCCCTCACCATGAGCTATTTATCCCAGATAAATGCATCTCCACACAGCCTGGAAGGGTTTTTTTATTATAATGTTTAACTCAGAATAATTTTCTAGATTTCTGACAGTGCAATCTCTTCCCCAAATAAATTCAATCCTTTCCCAATCATCCCACTTTAAGTACAATGTATAATGGCAGTTTAGAGTCGAACTTTGGAGACTCTCTGAGTCAAAGATCTACCTGAAATATTCAGCAGCTGCTTCTTGCACAGAAATATGCCCCAGACACGAGGCCAGTCATTGCCATCTCAGCTCTACACTCTAGTGTGTGCCTGAACCACTTAACCTCACCAAGTCTGTTTCCTCACCTGTAAAATGGCTTTGTTCACTTCTGTCTCACAGAAGGGTCATGAGGACTGAGTCCAGGACAGAGCTTCTACATACCTTAAGAACTTACTTGCTTACCTTACATGCTTCTACATACCTTAGGATCTAGTCAAGACAGCGAGGAGATCTCCACACTTCCGGAAATACCTTCGTCCTCATAGACCTGACAGGGCCAGGGCTGAATGGACCACCTCTGTCATTTGTGATGCAAGAGAACAAACAAGGCTAATTTTATATGCTGTGGGTGTTTTCTTCATTCTATCCCATCTAATGAGGTTGTAAAACCACTTTTGAATTTAAAATTATCAGATCCTTGGAATGCTGCACTAAAAGACAGTGCAGGGGAAATGCAGACCTGGCTCCTGGGCCATTTCCTGCTGCCCTCTGTCTCACCTGTGAACCCACGCTCAGCCATGTGGACTGTCCTCTAATAGATATGTTCAAACTGCAGCTTCATCTACCCCACCCTGGAAATGGCCACTCTCAGTCATGCCACACCAAAGTTATGGTCTACTCTCAAAAAAAAAAAAAAAAGATCCAATAAAGGGAAGTATGTGTTTTAGAAGGGAGTTCAGAGCTATTTGGACAGCAGCATCTAGGGTCCTCAATACCAAGATTATGAATTATAGCAGGGCAAGGGCACAGACTTCAAGCAGTCACCTGCCCTTGTGTCCTACAAATTTATCATCTGGTGGAGAAAGTGTTGGTTGGGCAAGGACTTGAATAAGGTCCTCTAAAGCACCAGGCTCAGGGAAAAAGCCCTTTGTGCTCTGATCTAGGGATAATCCAGGGATGGGACTGGACATCTGACCTGTAAACAGCCCAACCACTGCCTGGCCAGCAACCTCTGGAGTGGCCTGGCACCAAGAGCTCTTCCCCGAGGCGATGATAGTGAAGAGTAGACTATATTTTCCAAAAGAAGCCACTCCAATATCTCCATTCACATGTTCTTCCATTACCTTGACTTGCCCCTTCAAGGGTAAAAATACCTTCAAGGTATTTTTTCTTCCCCTTGAACATACCTAGCACTTTGTGATTGCTTTGTGAACCAAATGCAGAAATGACATTGAGTAACTTCTTTTTTTTTTTTTTTTTTTTTTTGTCTTTTTCCTTTTTATCGGTACCAGGGATCGAACTCACGACTGCCTGCTTGCAAGGCAGGTACTTACACCGCTGAGCTAAACCCCCAGCCCCGACATTGAGTAACTTCTAATATTTGATGATAAAATATAACATGGTTTCCACCTGGGCCTCTTGCTCAGAGGATACTCATCCTTGCAACACTCACTACCATGCCTTGAGGTAAGCTAGGCTACTGGAGAAATGATTCAAAATACAGGCTTTCTTATTACAGTATTCAGGTATGATGAGGCCAATGTATTAGGATATGATGGCCATTTAAAAGTTAGTTTGTTTCATGCATGGGTCCTGGGGAGGCACCAGGATTGGCTGGGAAGCTGGGGGAGAACATGGTGAGAGTCTATACTGTACTTTCCATGCAAAGGAATAGGTGAGGCTGGGCATGCAGATTTGAGATCAAACATTTTAAATCATTTCAGTGGACTCTGGGATTTAGTGGTGGTCTTTAATTATCTGGGTGAACAGGCAGAGGAATAGTGGCCCCAAAGTGTAGGAGTCTGACAAGGGAAGTGGTGCCTGTGTGGCTCTGGATTGTTTTGTTTGCATATAAAAGTCACCCTTGCAAGAGACTTAGGTGCTATCTCTAAGAAATGTAAGGGGCAGTTCTCCAAGGTCAGGAAGACTGCAAGATATCAAAACATCAGAGAATAGAAAAGGTATGGCTACTACTACAGCCATATTTATTTTTCCCAGTCAACAACCCAAAGGCCTCAGGCAACAGCCAACATCAACTAGGACTGTTGAAAAAGTGAGTCCACAGATGACTCCAGTGGCCAGCCTTCACCAGTGAGGCAGGGTTGTGCTACCCATGCCAAGCACTACTCAAACTGTAGACTCATAATTGTATAGTTTTACTTTTCTTTAAGACACTAAGTTTTGGAGATTATTTTGTATACAATCATAGTTTTGAAAAACAGTAATGAAATAAAGAAAACTTCCCCTTCCTCTTAAATTGGGACTTAGTAAACTTTTAAACAGGAAGACAAATGGTCAGACCCAGAGAGAAGACACAATAGAAGATGCAGCTTTGTAACATTTCTGACAAATTCCTGGTGAGCAATAACAAGAATTCAGGGTGGAGTGGCCTCTGCCCTGAATGACCCAGCTTCCTGAGCTCAGCTGTGGGACCTGGTCTTCCTGAGGATCACCAGGTGTTAGGTTTCTGCATGGCCTGAACTGGGTACCTACGAGGCCTCGGATGTGCAGAGACCCCTTCTCCAGAACCCTCATGCTGCTCCTTCCTTTCAGATCACCATTCCCTCCAGCCTAGAGCCTGTCACCTTGTTGCCCTGCTAACACTTAGTGTGCAGCAAGCATGGAAACTGGGTTGCTCTTCCTTCCTTCATTGATCTTAGCAAGAACTATAAGAGACTCACAGAGACAAATGTTAAAAGAGCATCAGGAAAGCTCAGGATCTAGTCAAATTCATATAGAATGGTTAAATGATTCCAGAATCTAAAAAAAATTTCCCCAAGGAACTTTTTATTAGTATATGTTAGAGATATATAATCAATATATTTATTATGGGGGCTGGGGATTTAGCTCAGCGGCATAAGTGCCTGCCTTACAAGCAGGCAGTCGTGAGTTCGATCCCTGGTACCGATTTAAAAAAAAAAAAAAATATATATATATATATATATTATGGGGAATTGGTACTTACACATATGACATATTGAGCCTTACTTCCCCTTTTCTACACCCTCCTGTCATCCTCTGCCCCAGATTGCCTCACAATCTCCACAAAGTCTATTTTCTATTGTCTCTTTTATTTTGTTCTTTAAATTACTTATACTTGGGACTTCTAATAACAAGAGAAACCATGTAACATTTACCTTAGTATTATGGTCTTGAAGTACATTTTCCTACACATGACTTAAATCTATCCTTTCTTATAGCTGAGTAATTCTCCTATACATATATATGCCACATTTGCTTTATTCATTTATGCGTCAATGGACATACACTGTGTTTCCATGGTTTAACTTTTGAGAGTTGTGCTGCTTTAAACATGGTTATGCACATTACACTGTAATATGTTTCTCACTTTTTGTGGAAGATACCCAGAAAAGCTACAGCTGAGCAAAAGGAATTTCTACTTTTAATTTTTTGAGAAATGCCTATACTGATTTCTTTTTTTACAAAAAAGCAAAACAGAAAAAAGGAATGATACAGAATTTTTTTAAAGCAGGAAATTAATGATAGTATGTTGCATTTGTTATCTTAAAAGTAGCTGTTCAGGTTACAAGATCTAGGCATAAAAAATGATCAATGACAGCACAAACTTTTTTTTTTTTTTTTTTTTTTTGGTACCAGAGGTCAAACTCATGACCTTGCACTTGACATGTAGACACTTAATGCCACTGAGCTAAATCCCAGCTTGCCTATACTGATTTCCATACTGGTTGTACTAGATTATATTCATACCAATAATGTAAAAGGGTTCCTTTTTCCTACAACCTTGCCAGCATTTGTTGTTTTTTGACTTCTTTTTTTTTTAATTTTTTTTTTTTTGTCTTTTTCGTTTTTATCGGTACCAGGGATCGAACTCACAACTGCCTGCTTGCAAGGCAGGCACTTATGCCGCTGAACTAAATCCCCAGCCCCTGTTTTTTGACTCCTTGATGACATTTTTTTGCAGTAGGATGGAATCTCAGTGTTGTTTTGATTTGGATTTCTCTAATGGCCAAAGATGCTGAATGTTTTTCCATATACCTATTAGTCATTTGTACTTCTTTGGAGAAGTGAGAATATCCAGAAATTTTACTTCCTTGATCCCATCTCCAAGCACAGACCAGGGTAGGTGCCCTCTTGTGTTTGGACTCATTCCAGAGGCTTTTAGACAGCAGTTTATTATCTTTATAATAGTTCCTTGTAACCAAGGTCAGACAGAAAGCTGCTTGTTCACTGACAAATAATTTGACAAAGAAAAAGACTAAGAGAGGACCTCCTCTGCTCTGGGTCCTTACATTCTTCCTTCTCTACTCACCCCAGCTGGCACTTGGGTGAGGATCACAGGGAGGCTACTGTGGCATCATAGGATCAGAATCAGACTTGGTAGATAGTGACAGTTCACTGGGTTAAGAGCTCCATCTAAGAGCCAGGGATATAGCTCATGGCACAGGACCTATCAGTCAGGCGCAAGGTTGTAAGTTGGATCCCCAAACCAAACAAACAAAAAAAAGAGCCCCATCTAAGAACTGCATTTAGCATATATGGTATTGGTGAATAGAGTCTACAAGGGGACCTGAATGTGTGTTTTAGGGTTAATTAAAAAAGGGCATGTGTGCAAGAGATAAAGTGAAAGTGGGCAAGCAGGAGGATTTCCCCTAAGGCTCATCCCTCTGGGGAAGTCCCTGTGAAAAGCTTCCTTGCTTGTGGTCACACACAAGGAAGGCTGTCCAAAACTGACAGGGTGGAGGTTGGGCTCAAGGGCTGTCCAAAACTGACAGGGTGGAGGTTGGGCTCAAGGGCAGCTGAAAGGACAGTGTTGGTGCTTGTCAGTGTTGACACACAAGGGCCAGAGCAGGGGAGAAGCAAGGGAGAAATAGGCAGTTCCGACGTGAAAACAAGCCCAGGCAGAGACTGCCTTGTCATGTGTGTGCCATGTGTTCTGACATGTGCCTAGGTACAAATAAGTAGCTGCATGTGCCAAGACTGTGAGTCTTTGACCAGACCTGCCTGACCAGGTCCCATCCTTGGGAACGGTGCCAGTGGAGCTGCTGCCACAGGCAGCCTCCTGTCAAAGTTGATGCCAGAGATGGCCTGAGACAGAAACAGGTTTTCAGGTAGGGTTGCACATACATGTACCATATGCATGACTACGCACAGATGTTCTTTACCAGCAGCCTGGGGATGATGGGCAGACAGAGTTAGTCTACAAACTCTGTCCACCTCTGCCCCAGTGCAGCCTGTGAAGGAACAGGCCAGGAATAAAGGGCCAACCAATGGCGGGGCCAGAGCCCAGGACCTGGGGAGCATAGGTGAGAGAGGCCACACAGACCAGCAGCCAAGTGAAAGTGAGTGCCCCATCAGCCTGGCCAAGTAATAGCTGGTACCTGAGATACTGAGAAGGCATTATGGGGACAACCCATGTCAGGGCTCAAAGTGTGAGCAGCTCATTGGCTCCAGTTACCAAATCAACCTGAGACTCTTCCCCTTTCAGGAGCCAGTCACTCCTGGTCGAGAGTACCCAGAGCCTACCCACAATGTTCCAGGGACTGTTCACTCACAACAGGGCTTCAGGATGGGACCATGTCCTCTCCTCACCCAGGGCTTTCATAGAGTACCTGAGCCAAGGGTCATGTGTCCCTTTTTGTACCCAGGAATTTTTTAAGGTAGTGGAGAAGACAGATGAGTGTTCCTTCTCAGGATGCCTTCCTGAATACCAGAAATGTTTCATCTCAGCTCCAGAGCCCCAATCTTTCTCAAGTCAGCAGATATCTGTCAAATTCCCCAAATGCTTCCTGCTCATAAACTTTACACCCAACGGCTTTTTTTCTCTGTTCTCAGGAGACTTGCATAGCTGCCCCTTTCCTCCTTCACCAGCATCCACTCTTCCTTTCCAAATTCCTCCTCCAAGACTGGCCACCTTACTCCAATTCCCCTACTTTCTACTGGCTACTGGCAAGCAAACAGGCCCTCACAATCCCCAAGGGATTTTCTGTAAACACCTTGGGAAGAGTGAATAGAAGTGAAAATCATTACAGTTGGGTAATGGTACACACCAAAGACCTAGCAGAGACCATCTTCCACATCCAGCTGGACATGAAAAGGACCTCACAACAGTTTGGCCACCAGGGGGCAGGCTACACTTGCTGGACCACTGACCTATTCATTGAAAGCCTTACTCTTGAAAGTGTATGTGGTATACAGGTCCCACCTGGGGACAAATAGACAGTGTCCTTGGGGATGAGGGCTGTGAGAGAAGATGAATAGGAAGTTCCAAGTATGAGTGGGCATAGGCATTTGATTGGAAGAGTCCATGTGATGGGGGGACAGGTTTTAGTAAGGAAGGATCTGGATACTGAAGGAGCAGGGGTGTGATGGGCAGAAAATTTAGCTGTTGGCTGTCCCCTTAGTATAGTGTCCTGGGATGCCTTAAAGTGGGAAGACAAGGTATCTTGAGATATAAGACAATTTTGCTTTTCCTAACACTTTGACCTTCTTAGTGCTGCTAGAGTTCACGTCTGCCTATGGATTAGGTATGCTCCTTCCAGATCATTCCAGCCCAGCATGTAACCATACTTTTTTTTTTACATGAGCCTTCACTACTTTTAAGCTAGTTTGAGTTTTCACCTCAACCTACAATTATGCACTAGTTTCTTAGGTAATACCTTTCCTTATTCAAGAAATCATCAATAGTTTCAGGTTACTTACAGGTTAAACACTACACTTTATCTGACCTTCAGGATTCCAAACTTCTTGTATCACTGTGTCTTACTGTTCCTTGATGCAACTTTCTCTGTGGCCACTAGATGGAAAGTGCTCTCATCTAGAAAATTGAAGACTCTGAAAAATATTATCATCAACCTCTTTGGTGACTCCCTGTAATGTCAGAAAAGTAAACTAGCTCTATTCTGTTCTGCCCTCTGATTATTTCTCTACCTTCTCATTAGGCTATGAGGCCCTTTGGGTGCTTCCAACCCAGCATTTGACCCAAGGGGCACACTGAAGGTGCATTTGATGCATACTTGGTGTGGGTGTGGTTTGGCCTGTCTGGGCTAGAGCAAGCTGCTTTGGAGCTTTCTGCAGATGCTGGGCCTGGTGCCCAGTAGGAAGGGCTGCTGCCTGGAGAAATCTCACCCAGGTTCCAAGGTGACCCCAAGAAAGGAATCTGTGAATTCCATTGTGTATCCACTTGACTAACCGCGAGGAATCTGCCCTGATTCTACTTGTCTCCTTTCCTAAGAGACCAGCTGCTTTCAGACTTGGCTCTGGAAAGAAGGAATTGGGAAAATTTAACCAGAAAGTTGTGAAGCTAGAAGAGGAGAAAGACAGAGATCAAGAGACAGACTAAGAGACATACAAAAGTGAGAAAAAACAAAGCAGATGAAGAAACAACCTGGAGGAAAGATGTAAAGATGGAGAGCATGCAGGAGCCAATCAGGAGTGTACAATCCAGAGAGCAACTCGGGTCCCTCAACTTTCTACTGAGGCACTCAAACCAAAAACTGGAAGATCATTTTTTTCTAGCTTCTGTGTCATTACTCAAGCCCAACTTGCCTAAGACTTGTCCATTCTTTATGCGAAACATACTGGAGTCTCTGTTCTCACTACTCCTACATATCCTTTATCAATGCAACGTCTTCTGTGAGTTCCCTGCTACAGGCAGGGCTCTTATCCATTCTATTAGTCAAAAAGGATGTTCTAAACACCTGATGTGTCATTTCCATATTCCCTTTTCTTAAATAAAGCCCCAGTGTGCATCTTGGTTTACGAGGCTTTGCCTCATCTCAGTCCTCTCCATCAACAAAGCCTTAAGCCCTATCATTGCAATCTTCTATCTCTATGCCCAGCGTTCCTCACTCAGGGTCAGCCTGTCCCTGTCATCACCCTTTGAGCACCCAGAGCAGTTTTACTCCCATCATCTACCCACCCCTTTCTACCCTAGAGTTTTACTCCTGCACTCTATGTGATTCAAACCAGGCTGCCCTCACCATTACATTCCATCTTCCTATTTACCCCTATCTTGATTATTTGCCATTCTAGTTACTGCTTCAGGGCCCTTTGTCCTTGGCATCCCAATCACTGCCTTCTCACTCTGTGTGGTACTTTCTTCTAAGGGTCATGGTGTTTCCTATATTTTCCATTTTGCTTTAAAAAAAATCTTATCCACCGGTTTTTTTGTTAGTTTGGTTGTTTTGGAAACAAGGTCTTACTATACAGCACAGGCTGGTCTCCTGCCTCAGCCTCCCAAGTGCTGGAATTACAGGCATGTACTACAATGCCCACCAATTTTCTGCTTAAGGAATTGTATTTACATAGAAATGAAGTTAAAGAAAAATTTAAGCTTGTCCTTGAACAGGCAAAGACAATGATGATGGGATTCTGTTAACACATGACTTCCATCAACACTTTGGTGCTCTTCCCAGATCCCCGTGGATCATCTTTACTTTTTCTGAGCCTCTGTTTCTGGGGCTTGATGTGTTTTGAGCACCAGTACCTGCCTCCTGTCTTCAGGTCCCAATGGCCACTTCACTCAAACTATCTGAGAGTTCTAAAGTATCTGAAGGCTCTAAAGGCCCACCAGGACAGCCCTTAGTCATAACTGTGTATCAATCCTTTGACTGGTGTGAGGATAGCTCAACTTCCTAATCCTCATTTTGGACAATGGTGAGACTCCTCGTGTCTAGAATGAGCTTAGTATACCAAAGTGACTAAAAAAATACTCGTTGAGTGAACAAATGTAACTATTTAATCCTATCTTTTGAAATTTCTAGAACTTTTGTCATGCTTAGGCCTTCTTATGCAAGATCAAAATATATTAGCAAAATTTGTTCTGATTTTTTAAAATATTTATTTGCTCCATCTTGAATATGCTGTAATAACTAAAGTTAAGATACATTTTCTCTGTGGTGAACCAGGTATCCAACACCTGGTTTGAATCTTTCCTTCATCTGTAAAACCAAGATAATGTGTTTTAGCTAAAATTCTTTGATGAGTGAGGTATTATGCAATCATTTACAGTGATAGTTACAAGGATTGGGTCATCACGTGCAAAAATGCTAACCTTATCATCTTAAACACTGCAAACAGCTATATAAAAATTTAGTTAACCTATGGGCAAGGACAGGAGAAATGACAGGAGATAAAGACTGACTTAAGGATGGGACAGGGCTATGGGTAATGAAAATTTAAACAGCACAAGAAATGGTATAGGACTTAACAGGAAAAGGCCAAACAGTAAAGTTTCCACAAATAAAAATTACTTCCTGTGGTCTCACACAGTACAGTGTGGAATTCCTTACAGGCTTTGTTAAATCAACAGTCTCTTGGGAAGTACCTCATTTTATCACCAACCCCCATAGCTCTACTCTAAGCTTTAACCTTGTGATCCAGTGAGTTCAAATGCTCCCTTGGTCTTCTCCTGTTTGAGGCAGCAGAAACACTGAACTCTGTGGTAATGCAGTGTATCAAAATCATACCTCCAGGCCCTCGCTGAACATCTCTGAAGATCCCCCTTTGGTCTTTTTTTTTTTTTTTAAGTGAATTCTGAGAACTTCTGAAATCACCAGGTCGCAGGCCAGCCACATCCTCATAACAAATGAGAACACTGGAAGTGAGACAAGGTAAATCCCGAGCGCCACGGGATAGTGTCTACCCTGGAGTTTGCCTCCTAAACACAGGCGCCTTTCACCTTTTATGGCTGTCCCACATGCTATTCTCAGGGTCTCTACGACGGTCTCAGAAGAGCAGCTACTCGAGTGAGCGCACCTCAAAGGCTGGCCCCAGTGCCTTTCCTAAAATGTCTCGATGTCGCTCAAGTGTTTATTTGGGGGGTATAACCGCCCCTTGCCTAACAACTACCTTTTACAGGAGCTCCGCTGAGGTGTTTTCCCACTTGCCTCAGCCACCAGGAGCCCAGTCCAGAGGCTGTCCCCCCACACAGGGACCCGCAGCGGCTCCACCAAGGATTGCCGGGGAGGTCTGGGTGACCACCAGAAGCGTTCTCAAAAGTATTAAAAAATTCTGGAGAGGTTCACCAGTCCGTCAGTGGGCGAACGACCTGCCGGCATTCAGCTCCAGGTTCCGGTGAATTAAAAGTGAGAAAGACCCTACTGACCTCATCTCCTGGAAGCCGCCAGGCGCCAGGCGGCCAGTCCCTTCCAGCTCTAAGCTCGGGCTCAAACCCGCGGGCGGAGACTAAGCGCGCTTCGCCAGGCTGCTCGCTCGGCCCGGCCCACTTACGTCACACCCGCAGGCCCTCTCAAGTCCTCTTGATTGGTGAAGAGCGCGCAGGAGCCCTCCAGCCCCGCCCCGGGGCCGCCCTCCTGCGGCACTGCCCCGCCCACTGGTTGACGGGCTGCGAGTGTGGGCCGTAATGTGTGGCTTGCAAGTTGGTACTCGAAAGGCCCGGGCGCCCCAGGGCTCAGACTGAGGCTGAGGGGGCGCTTTCCCGTCACGCCGACGCGCTAGCCGTCGCCCCAAGCCTGGCAGTGGCCCGCTGTTCTGCACACGCTGCCCTTGCTCAACGCGGCCAACAGAGGCCCCTTCCGCTCCTCAGACCTCCACAGGCCCCCTAACCGCGAAGCACCCGGAAATGCCTGTTGCCTGGGCTCCCCTCAGCGTCGACGACCCACGTGACGAGTCTGTCCTCCAGGACACGCAGACTCTGGTTCCGAACGCTGACGCTGGTCCCACCGATTCTGCTCTGCAGCCCCTCCGTGGACGGGTCCGTCGGGTCCTACTAAGCCTTGCTTGGCGCTGGCCCGGACCAGTCAGCGGGCCCCCTGGCTGTGAGGCCCACGCACGTGGCTCCCCCGTCCTGCACCAGGATGCCCCTCACCCAGCAGCCCCGTAGCGTTCCCGCACGCCCAGCGCCCAAGGTTGCCTGCTCCGATCCCCGCAGTCCTGCTCCTGGCGACCCAGCCTGGGCCTCCGCACTTCGGCCCAGCCGCCAGCCCCAGGCCCTTTCGCCTCTCCCCCGCGCAGCACCTCTAACGCCTCTGCCACCCTAGCCTGCACCCCACCCATCGGCCCAGGCCCCACCCCTCCCCCCCAGCTCACCGCCTCCGTCCGGGCTCCGCGCCCCTCTCCCCTCAGGCAGGCAGCGCTGGCGGCGGGGGTGGAGGCCGTTCCCGGGCCCAGACACACCCACCCGCCCGCCCTTCCCGCTTCCCTCCCTTCCTTTCTCCTTCCCTCCCTCTCTCCCGCCCGCGCTTCTCGCTCGCTCCTTTCCTCGAGCCGCCCGCCCGCTCCCGCTTCCCGCGGCGCCGGGCCTCCCGCCCCGTCTCCCGGTGCGCGGCTCTCCCGGGCGCGGCTCCGGGGTTCATGGTGACGAGGCGCTGGCTGCTCGAGCCCAGCGGAGGCGGCGGGAGCTGGGGCACGGGCCCCCGCTGCTTCTCCGAGAGCGTGGGGCCGGGCGGCGGGCGCGCCCAAGCGGCGGCTGCGAGCGCCCCCCCGCGCCGCGCCCCCGCGCGCCCCCCGCGCCGCGCCCGCGTGCGCCTGGCTTGCGGGGGGCCGGGCCTGCGGGCGGCCGCCGAGCCGCGCATCCATGGACGGCCCGGCTATCATCACCCAGGTGACCAACCCCAAGGAGGACGAGGCCCGAGCGCCTGGCGCGAGCGAAAAAGGTGAGGAGGGGCGCGTGCGGCTGCTGCGGGGAACGTGGGAACATCTCGCGCTGCGGAGTTCGCTGTGTTCGCTGGCACGGGCCTGGGGGAGGGGTGCACCCGGCCAGAAGGGTGCGTGGGTGGGGGGGTGCGCCTGGAGGGGAGAAAGGCTAGAAATGTGCGTGTGCTGGTTGAGCTGGGGTGAGTGTGCAGGCGCCGCCAGAGAAGTTGTGATCAATTGATTGTGTGTGCTCGTGTCCCTCTTAGATTTTTGGAGCCCCTGCCTAGACGTTTATATGTGCCCCTGACAGGTTGTGAGCGTGCTGTGCATCTGACAGGTCTTGAGTGCTTGTTTTTTTATGTTTTTTGTGTGCACACATTGACAGACAAGGGTGTGAGGACACCTAATAGAAAGTGAGTGCATGTTTTCCTGGCAGGCCAAGAGTTTGTATGTGTACCTTATGTGGAGGTCTGTGTATGGCCGATTGAAAGGTCATGATGTGTATGTGTGCACGGGAGCTTGAGCAAGCAGAGAAGCTGTATGTGTTTACACCTCACAGAGTTTGTGTTTGAATGCCTGTATCACACTGAATGTGTTGTGTTCCTCCACTGGGAGGGTGTATGTAAGCATTTACACAACGAGGTTGAGTGTGCATATACATGCCTAACTATGAACCCCTGTGTGCAGATTGTGTGTGCCTGTTTTGTACCAGACAGTGAGGCCATGTGTCTGGGTATATTTAGTTAGTTGGCTGTGCAAGCTCTTGAATGTTTGTGGGAAGAAGGGTCAGTGCCGAGCTATCGTCTCTGCTTTTGGGCTCTTGTCTCAGGACCACCAGTCTGTTGAAGAGCTTACAAGCCTTGCCCAGTCCATGCTCTAACAGGCACTTGGGGAGCCTGTAGAGTGCCAGGAATGTCGCCTCCCAGAGAGCTGGCCAAGGGCGCAGCCAGTACTGTGCTGCTGTGCCTCATTTGGTTTTGGCACATTTTTGGCCTCTCTTCTGTTTCATTTTTCTTTGTGTTTCTTCCCTCCTCCCCCAGATTAGTGTCCGCTTCTCTCAGATGTCCTGCTTGTTGTCCCTCTGTTGTCTTGAGGTTTGGATAAACTGTTTTGAGGCCAACAATCTGGCATGTTTTGTTGGGTAACTAGATACTTTCTGCTATGCACCTTGGAAACACCTGGACCCACCAGAACCCCAAGCCTAACCTGGCCACAGCAGACTTGTGTTTCCCTACTTGCTGTGGTAGTGATTGAGGAGTGCAGCTCCCACTAGGAAACAGGACGGGGGTGGAACACTCCACCACCTTTTTCCATGCAGGAATCCTTGAGCAAGCCCACCAGAAAGAAAGACTGACAGAATCATCAGAGTAACTGAAACTGGGGATTTGTCAGCCATTTGTGCTTTGAATACTGTCACTGTTGTATATAACATTTATAGATGTTTTATTTTTATGGAAGGAATTCAAACTCCCAGGCAGTTTTTTATGTCCTAGAAATGAGCTAAACAATTCTACAACAGGGTACTGCAGATGAACTTTGTGTCTCCCTGGGACCCAAAGGAGAGCCCCTCTGAGGGCAGTGTTAATAGGGACTGAGAGTTCTTTGGGACCTGGTTGGGTATGTTCCCTCAAAAAGGGTTTGGTTGGAGGTGTGGAGGAGGTCTGCTGCCTGTGATTTTCAGTGTGTGGATTGCTTTTTGTGATGTACAGCCAGAAAATCCTTAGCTCTTGATTGTAGAGGTGTGGCATAAAACAGGGAAATGTTTGTCAGAGGCTCAACCCTCCTGCTGCCCCCACACTTGACTCTAGGAGCAGGCGCTTTGCTGTATTTTCCTTTCCTGTAGTTGCTAAGATTTTTAAAGCAGAGACAATCCTGTCTAAAATTCAAACCATGTGGCCATATGCAAGGAACATTCTATTCCACTTGTTTACATTTCTCTTCATGACAATCTTTTAATCTCTTTAGCAGCCAGTTTTGTTTTCCAGTGTCATATTGATTGGTTGTTAACTGATTAGGGAAATTCTTTAGCTGCTGTCCCTGGGTGCAGTGGCTAGCTTGTAGAGCTTCCTTTCTGTGGCATTAAAGTCCTACTCAATTGAGTTTTTCACTTAAAAAGTGAATATAATTTTGGTCATAGGTAGTGTGGCAATAAACATCACAGTCAAACTTTGAAATAACTTCTTCAGATTAGTGAACCACCAAACAGATTCAGTGATGCTTCTAGTTTAAGTATGTTGATTTCTTCACATAGGTACAGTATAGTTTACGTAATTTTGAATTGATGTAAACATTTACTCATATTGTTTTAAAATATTGAACCTGGACTCTGAAATTTTTGTAATAAGAAAGAAATTACTGGTATTATATGTTTACTTTCATCATTTATTTTGTAAAATAGGAAGAATAGTGACCACCTCTAGGTTTTGCTGTGAAAGTTAAAAGAGATGAGGTATATTGAGGACTGTGCCTGGCTTGCCAGTGTGTCACTATTCTGTGAACCCTTTTTTCAGTGTGCATTCACAAAGAAAGTGCAAAGTATGGGCTGAATTACTTGGCACATTGCCATGTGGTGTGCTCCACTTAGAGGTGACAGTCACTGTCAACCTAGCCTGTTACGTGAAGTTTATTTCTTGTAGTTGTGTTTGATCTGGTTGACAGTATAAGTATGTAGAGATGAATGTCCCTCTAAGTTTAAATCTACCTGCTTTGCTAACTGGAAATTTGTTTTACAATCAGTAAGTAAAAGTTAAATAGTATAGTAGAAAAGTAGATAACTATAAACAAAAAAGTTACAGAAGAGAAAATCTGAAAGGTTAATGAATGTATGAAGTGAAGCTTCAACTCATGAAACCTTTTCATGTGTCAGCTTGGTTTAACATTTAAATAATTGACAGTTTTCAAGATTGATAAAGATTTAGGGAATGGTTGCTCTTAGTAGACTTTTGTGAGCAAATACAACGTATACAGATTTTTAAACAGCATTTCACAAGGAATTAGGAATGTATTTGGCTGCAAGTAACAGCAAAACGAGACTTAGTTAAACTCAGTATTTTTTCCTCTTGTATAATAAGCAGCCTGGGGGTACTATGCGGTCAGCTTTGATTCATCACCTTCTTGGTATCAGGGCCAGTGTCATGGTGATTCTCTTGGCTTTCTTTCATGTTGTAATATAACTACAATCCCTCTAACATCACAGCTTCTTTCAGGGCAGGAGAAAGCCACAGTGCAAGTCAGTATCTCTGCCTTTTACATGGAAAGCAAAAGACAAAAGAAAACATTCCTAGGGACTGCTCAGAAAACTTGTGCTGATGCTAATTGGCCAGAATTGGGTAACTTGGTTTCCTCTAGCTGTGAGCTAGGTGAGGAAAATAAGTTTCTAGCTTTTCCAGCCTTTGTTGGAGAAGGCAAAAAAAAAAAGGTTAGAAATTATAGGGAACATGTTCAGCCAGCCTACAGTATTATTGACTTTACCTTCAGAGCCCAATTTCTCTTAAATTTCTGTCTTACAGAAACATTCTCATTTGCATTCAGACAAACATGTACAAGGGTTTTCACTGATTGTTGGCAGTAGCAATAATTTGAACCATCCTGTGTCAGCAGCAAATACACTATGGTACTGCAGTTCTGCAGAACACTGCAAAACTGCTAAAAAGAATGAGTTAAAATAGATGTAAACATACCAACATGTAAAATTCCAAGACATTTTTAAAGGGAAAGAAAGAATTTGAAGAATGTTGTAAACAGTATGATCATATTTTTGTAAAAAATGTCACACACACATAAAACTGTACATAAGTGTAGAAATACACAAAAAACATGGCAGGAAATACTCAGCTAACAACAGTGATTTTTTTCCTGGGGCAACAATAGGGTTGGGAAGAGAGAACTTTGCCTTTTTAAAAAAATATTATTGAAAATGTACTTGTGTTTTTTAAACTAAAAAAGGAAATTTCTCATAGTCTTTGGAGAACTAGAAATACTTTGAGAGAATTGTGCAGTAATAAAACCAACAAACCTCAATTGATATGCAGTATTAGCAAGAGTATAGTAACATTAGCTAAACAGTTAATTATTTTGTGAGCTAATACATTTCTCAAATGAGATTTCTGTAGGCAACATTGTTTATATAGATATTTTGACCCAAGTTGGTATGTTTTCCCCAAATGTTTGTAATACTTAACCTTAAATCAAAAACCTTTAATTTTGAGCTGGGCGAGGTAGCACTTGCCTGTAATCCCAGCATTTGAGGCTGAGGCAGGAGGATTGCTGCATGGTCCATGCCAACCTGAGCTACAAAGTGAGTTGAAGGCCATCCTGAACTCTGTAGCAAGACACTGTCTCAAAAAGAAAAAAAAAGTTAAACTGAACCAGCTTCAGATCTGTTCTGTCATCTGAAATCATTACTGCTTCCAAGAGTCTTCTCTTTTTGTGATTTTGTTCACACCTGACAATTAAAGGTGGTTTTTTTGTTTGTTTGTTTTTTGTTTTGTCTTTTTGAGACAAAGTTTCACTATGTAATTTAGGCTGGTCTTGAGCTCACTTTGTAGTGCAGGCTGGCCTTAAACTTGCAGCAATCCTGCCTCAACCTCCCGAGAGAGTGCTGGGATTACAGACATGTACTACCATGCCCAGGAGGTTCGATTAACTTTTTAAAATTAACATTTTTTTAGAGATTACTAGATTCATATGCAGTTAGAAGAAATCACATGGAGATCCTTTATATCCTGTATCAAATTTTTTCCAGTGATACCATGTTGCAAAACTGTAGTAAGTGTTGCAGAACTGTAGTATGCATTACAGTCAGGATGCTGACATTGATATAGTCAAGACAGTGAAAAATCCCATCGGCAGAATGATCCCTCATGTTGCCCTTTATAGCCAAATCCACTTTCCTCCCATTGCCACATCAGTGGCAATGACTGATCTATTCTCCTTGCCTAAATTTTGTCATTTTGAGAAAGTTATCTAACTTGAATCACAAAGCATGCAGTACTTTGGATTTTTCCCCCTCAGCATGAGT